CAATTGTTTCAAGTTTAGAAGTTCACCATGTAAATGAAATATAAAATCATTATATTCTATTGACGTTCAGTAGATGAAGCATACTCTTTTGATGCTCATTATCGTTATTTATATTTTGATTTAATAAAAGCAGATAAATTAGATATATTACATCTTATATTAAAAGACTAAAGAACATTTGTAGTAATTATTTATCAATTATCTTAAATCATTTCAAAGTATAGTAACTGATTACAGTAAGTTAAACATCATTTTCACAACTAGTTATGTTCGAAAATTGAGGTGGAAACAGGCTTAAGTTAGTTCACTAGTCATCTAACTTCAATATATTGTAGTAAACATGGATAATTATTTTGACGTTAATAGTCTAATGGAAACATATTGGTTAGAAGTTTGTCACATATACTAATAATATCTAAGTAAACACTTTGTCTGAAAGCACAATTATAAATCTTATACTGCTTTTGAATATTTTACTTTAGAAGAAAAATTTAATTTCATTGCCTGATATTTATTATATAACACTTAGAAAAAGAAGACACTGCATAGAAATGATAAAAAGTAAGTGGTTGCAGCAATCATTGTATTCAGCCAAACATAGCATATAGTACACATTTGTATATTTTACATTCTGACAAATTCTATCAAAATCTACCAATAGGATCTATTTCTACTTTACTTCGTAGACAGTATAGATCTAATTTTTGATCCTTTTATTGTAATTTTCTGTGTTTTTGACGTGAATTACAAAGACTTGGAGACATATTATTACTAAATACTCATCTAATAAGCTCTAATAACTTAAAATATCTTTCTTTTTCATTGAAAAAAAGTGTTACCTTAATGAGCATCGAAGATTAACGATAGAATGTTTTACAATAAACAAATAAATCAATAGTTGAGATCATGAGTCAGTTGAAGCTAGACCACCATGGGAAACCTGGAAGCACTGGGTGGACGTTTCGTCCTATCGTGGGACTCCACAGCAGTGCACATCCATGACCTCACCCCGTGGGATTCGAAACCTGGACCTATCAGACTCGCGCGCGAGCACTTAACCACTAGACCACTGAGCTAGCCGGCACCCAACGGTGTTAATGTCAAACTTCAAATATATCTTATATATTCGCCTTATGTTATTTACAGAATAAACTTATTCAAATTTTCTTTCCGACGGATCATACGACTCAAAATTTACAATACATATAGACGGTTATGCTTAACAAATTGCTTGCGTTTTTTCCTAAATTGCCATCCTAGTATCAGTTTTTTTAATCCTCTGTTTGTAGTTGTTTAATGAATTTCAGTTCCCGTGATTAATTGACAGTGCATTTAAACAGAGGGTTATAGTGTAAAAAAATATGTTACCAATCAAATTTTTATTACTTCATCGTTTGGTAAAACCCATCAATCATATAACTAATCAAAATTTTGTTTACTATATATTTCGTTCAGTGTTACGTACAAATGAAATTTTTTTGTATTCTCTATGGCTTTCACTGTAGACGTTTTATTGTTTTAAAAAAAAAGAAATACCCACCGTTATTTAGCAGGTAAAATAAAACAGAATTACCACTCTTTTTTGCATCAGTGAGTAGTATCTAAAATAGGGTGGAATATATTTTGTTTCTTCTTTTTTTATCAAAAAACATAGTTGATTATTACTTCATAGGAGCATTATTTTGTTTCATGCAGCAAAACATTTCAGATTGTTTAAATAATCCCACTTGTTTTCTGTGAGAAATCAAATCGTTCTGTGAAGCGTAACATTGAGCTCTATATTTTGATATTAATAATAATCAGAACAGTAATAATCGTATTAAACTAATCCTTTCATCTGGTATGTTCTAATGATTACTTTTTTAGAAATAAATTATATTAGAAAAAGCGAAAAGGTGTTCAAAGTCTAATTTCTGACTAAGAGAGTTATGGCTAATGTTTACTTATGTGACAAAATATATCATTTCAGTTCCATATATCACGCAATCAGTCAGGCAAAAAAAATCCATTTTGTATTATAAAACTTACACTAGTACTCATTAGTTTGAAATTGACCAGTTCAACGCCTAAACATTGCTTATTACATTACTGACTCTCAAAACTACGGGGATTTAAAACAGCAGTAATAACTGAATAAATGGGATATTTGCCACTGTTCCTTGACTTCTCACTGTAATAAACTCAGTCCTAACCAACGTCAAGCATGACTCAAGTAACTTGTTAGTAACGTTTGTGAATGTCACTTCTAAATACCCAGTATATTTGAATATATAATGATCATCAACCATGACGTAACAAGTTAACTTATCGTTCCCAAATCGAGGTATGTTACTTTGACTAAAAACGCCTTCAATATTTATCCACCACTAAGTGTATGGTGTTATTTTCATAAATCTTTCGAAAAATAATCAGTGATCCTAATAAATATATCAGTTCTATTCACGATTCGCATAGATCTTTCGATTTGGACATGTGGCTGTCGTCGCCTGTTCATTTAATAATCGTTTAAGTCATCAGTTTAATGTCATTTATTAAGACATTTCAATACTTTTTAAATTGATTATAATGACATGAACATGTATTTAGGTAAGAAAATTAATTAATGTCTCAAAAGACACTTGTAGTTATAAGAATGTTTACTTTAAATTGTCTTTATATTTTCCTATTTTTTTCATGTTATTACGGTCGACGGTTGTAAATCGATTCATTTAATCATTGCATAGCATTCGAGAACCAACACAATAAGTCACTATTGCTACTAATAATCGATAGAATTACTCTATTTCATAACACATTTACAATCAAAATTAATGTTCACAAGATCTTTTTATGTATTTAAATGGTTTTATAATAAATAAAAATAAATTTTTCACTAATTGAGTTTAATATGCTTCAATCAAAGACAAACATTGAATGTACAAATTCAATAAATGGAAATATTTGTACTGCTATTTTCTACGTACGTGACTTTTATGAAAAGTAAAAGGTTTACCATATAAAGTTTTGATATCCATAATAATAAATAACCAAGAATAATTTATTACTGGACGAATCAGTATTTCTTTTCGAATGATCTAATAATTATTTCTTTCAAAAAGCTTATTCAAATAAAGATTAAATAGTTGAAATAATAAAAAAAACACCGCTACAACATGTTATGTTAGATCAATACAGAATATTATAAATTCCACTTACAGTTCAATGTGTCTTACATAGAAAATTCAATATTCAAGTGTCAGTGTACATTGATCAGACAATTGGTTACAGAATATAAATCACGTTTTTTTTCTTTTCAGATAGTTACAAAAAAAAACTTTTTTTTCAAAGGTAATAAAAACTTGATTTAATACATTCCATTAGCCAGTGATGAAACAACCAAATAATTGGAATAATTTCGTTTTTTTTTCAATTTTTATTTGGACAATCTTCTTGAAATTCTCAAGCTTGCAAGTGTAATTATGTAAATTTTATTTTCTGATTTCTAGGTTTCATTGAGTTTATTATTTTGTTTCTTTGTTTACTTTATCTGAAGTAAAAAATCATGAAATCGAAGTTTTTGAAGAAAATAAACCCGGAAGTTTAGGAGGGGATTATTATTACTATTATTATTTGTGTATAAGCTTTATATTAATACTAAATGTTTGGTTACATTTTATTTAAATCTAGGATTAATACTAAGATATTTTTTATGACACCATTCTTTGACCAAGAATTATCCCCTAATCATATGTATCGGTATGTTACGTTATAACATGTTTACACTGAGCGATTCACTGCTTTTCTATCCTAACAAATAAAACAATTCACATGACTGATAAATAAAGTTACAGTACATATTTTCACATATGCAATGTAAGAGAAAATATATATCTGTTTGACAATGGTTAGTATATATTGGAATGAATTCTTTTGAATTTCTATGGATTATTCAAAATTATTAGTTGTATATTCACTGTTTACAATATCGCCTTGGTCTCGACATTTTGAAGTTGACTACTTAACTTATTTTTTTCACTAAATAGGTTCATGTCATTAACTGTAAAGAAGTCATTTATTTCTAAATAAAATGGATCGTAATATACGTTTTATATTATTAGAAATCTGATATAAATTTTAAAAGGATTATAGTTTAATATCGAGACTTCAAAACGACATTCAATTAATCATGTGTCATTTCAAGATGGGAAGCTAATTGAAGATGTAGAAACGTCCTTAAAAAGTTCAAAACAAGAAGCTAGTAGACAATAAAATAAGAAAAATATTAAGTTTCTTTGTATTTAATAGAAGTTTATACTTTTATTGAATTTTTTTACTTGGGAAAAACTCACTGTTATAAGTACAGACATCTAATAGACAGAACATTTCTAAGCAAATTACCCAGCTATCGGTTCAACAGTTTGTTGATCAATACATAAATTTTGCATTTTGTTACAATCAAACATTGTAATCCAAAGCATTGAAGGTTTATTCACAATAAAACAAAAGTAAAACTCACGAAAAAGTAGGTAACAAATGGAGTTGTGTTTATTGAAGATGTAAACTAATAGAATTGTAATACAATATAATCTAAGCAAACGTTTTGCCATTACCGGGTTTTTGTTTGAGGTCAATGTAATGCCTAACTGGTTTACTTTACAATATGTCGTTAAAAATGAAATCGAAATTACTTAAGTAAAATTCACATATCAACTAATATACCTTTAAGAATTCATTTAAATGATATGAATCCCATTTGATGGAAAGGTCACCTTATTAATCTATGTTAATTGAAATCATGACTCCGGAATTTAAGTTGATACGTCTTCAAGCATTTTAATGGACAAACATAATTAATGCCTACGAAACTGAGCCATTTTAAAATGTGCTTCTTAACATATAAAGTATGACTTTCTGAAATGTATATTACAAATAAAAAAGTTGACTTTATCTTCATAATACCTATTTTTATGTTTTTGTAGAATTTTAAATTTAATTTTACTAAAAAATTTTATATGTTGCAGAATACTTATTAAACAAATACAGTGAATTACCTGGAGAAATTATAACATTCGAATTACCTTTGAGCACTTTGACTGTCGAAGCATCTCATCATAAAAATGTGAATTTAGGTTTAAAACTTGCCGGAAGTAGAGATTTAAATCAAATGAGTGTTTTCGTATGTGGAATACAACCAGGAAGTATCATTGAACGTGACGGACATATAGAAGTTGGCGATCAATTACTAGAAGTAAGTGATAATAAATTTAGAATATTTATATTATTGTTACTAACATATATTCAAGACGAATATCGGTATCCACATTGTGTTTTGCATGAAAATATTAATTAATAGCAAATGTGCACAGTCAGTTTAATGACAATCACCTATTCATTAAGTAGACTTATGATAAGTAATTTACATATATATATAGAATGTTTCTATTTATAATTAATATTAAGCTTACATTTTGTCACCACAACATATTCATAACTTGTATCTATTGACTATACTAAACACCTAGTAAATTTTGGGTAAAGTAATTTACACAAGTGTTAACCGGGTCGAGTCCCAGCAATTCAGAGACAAACTAAAACGTAGAGTACAAAAAATAAAATTTTCAAGGCTCTTTTCCTCATAAATCTATTTAATTTTTCTCTCTCCCTACAAAACTTTGTCAACAGTTGAACTGTACTTGAGTAAAAAAAGTTCTGAATTTTTCAATTTTAAGTGGAAACAATTTGAATCAAACATTGGGTTGAACGTTAATCCCTATATCATGAAAGATTTATCAAACAACCTTGAACTTTTCCAATATTCTCAATACAATATTATTACATGGAATTAATCGATAAAAATAATGAAAGAGATTCGGAGTATCTATGGCATGAGTGGTTTTATTTTGCAAATTTAAATATTCATCGAATGATGGTTTTGAACACTTCAATTTAAGGTAATAAGTTGATATCCACCGAGTTACAACGGATAACATACAGTTAAATCATTATATGAAGATAATGAAATCTCAACAAGACAAATCTGTGTTCCAGATAAACAATCTTAGTTTGAAAAGTATATGATTTATTCTGAATTCTTGCCCAAGGCTTGTGTATGAAATAAATCACTCATAAAATGTATGCAGATTTATCATAGATCATAATTAAAATAAACGGTTGTTTAAACTTATGACTTAAGGCAATATCAAGGCAATCCGCATAACATGCACATATGCTATCATGAGACTGATCAATTTCAGTTCTAAATAACAACGGGAATATACAAATAAATCAACACCAAGTAAATTAGACTGTTGTTAGTTATTCATGTGAAACATTTTTCATCAATTTTTGTTGAATATGAATCTAGTGAGTTGGAATCTTGGATGCGCACTGCTGAGTAGTCCTATATTAGGACGAAACAGTCGTCAAGTGCTTCCAGGTTCTCCGTGATAGTCTAATACAAATCGGTTCATGATCTCAATCAAAAAATGTTTTTCGTTGATAATAAATAACTTTAAACATTCTTTTTGGTCAAGCGTTATTATTTGTTTATGTATTTTAATTTAATAAAAATTTTAAAATTATTTGACAAACTAATTGACATTATCATCATTATACATAAACGAATACAAGATTATTATGTAAACATTGAAAATTACTTCAACCTGAAATGACAAGTAAAAGGGTGAAAAGAAGAAGTTTCTTAATGAGTAAACACATTTAGAATTTTACTGAAAAACAAATTCTTTACATAAACTAAAAAGGTAAACAAATGTTATAACATAAAACTTGATATACTTAAAAAAATGAGAAACAAAAATACTTTTAACAAGTATAACTGTACAATTAAAGTTGATTAGTTATAACACACTAAGATATTAAATTGAATGAATATTACTAATTTAGTTGATTTGAATATAATATACAAAAGATCCCAATCCTCTAGTCAATATGTATCAGCCTATCAAGCTTCATTCAATGATCAACATGAATGACCTCCTGTTGTGCTGAGAATCTAGTTTATTTCTCTTATAAATTTTAACACTTTAATTCCAACATATGCAATAGGTTTATGCGTAATATATAGATGTTCTTGGAACTAAACTTTATTCTACATGAGGTTACTTATAATTAAAATACCTGACGATAACTTTCTTTTTACTGGATAATATATTTTAATAAAATAAATAAGATAATATACTTATGATGTACATTAACAGTATTCTCAAACTTGTCTATTGTTATATCCCGATGAGAATAATGAATGGTAACAGTTAAAATCTATTTTCGGAATAATACTCTACGTATATTTTGATTGTATAATTTTTAAATAACTAAACTATTCATATTCGTGTTCCTCTTATCATAAGCTTTATTTTGACCTATGAACAATTATTATACGATTTACCATTCTTGACTTATGCTTAGTCTATCAATTACTATCTCCCACATTCATAGCCACTTTTGGCTAAATCTTGTACAAATAATATTTTCTATTTTGTGGTACTATGTTGTCTGTTTGGTTTGTATATAAACCTAGTATGTTTGAAATATACGATTCATATCGCGGAGGCTGAGATTGGTGTTTTGGACTTAACAGGGGTGACTCGGCAGGAAGCAGGACCGATAAGGACTCTAGACTGCTCGTACGGGTTTTATGCGTCACTGGTCCGGTCGATAATTCACTGTTTTCTGATTGACGGTATCATTACGTTATACATTGATAGGGGCACAGACACACAAGTTATAACATCTATCAAAACTATTATTCTCATTAGATAATCCAGTGAATTGAAATGGTACATTTACTTGGATTCACTGTTCAGTAGACAAGATGAAGTAAATGATGAACACTATCAATTAGACGAACAGTTTGGAAATAAATTCCTATATTTCGTAGACACGTACGGATTTCCTAACTGTGTAACGGAAATAAATGTTAGGGACTACAGTCAATAAACTTAAAATCATATAAAATATTAGCAAAATATCTTAGATTTCTGATACTTATCATGTTAGAAGGTAATTCTTTCTATTTCAGTAACGAATCATATTGACTTGATAAATACTTGAAATTTCTGAAAATAAGATTACACAATTATTAAATTATGGATAAACAATTCGATTCCACGATAAATAACAATTAGTTCACCCTATTTAATACAATATGCACAAGTTAATTGAAACAGAAATATAATTTTAAAAATGTATTCATGTCATTATAAGCAGAGATGATTGTGACTAGTTGTTGAATTCAGGATACGAGTTTCGTCGTATTTGGGACTCATCAGTTGAATGAACTTGTATCTCAGAGTTGACGTCCACTCTGGGACTCGAATTCAGTACTAATCGCTTCAAATGTCATCACGTTATCCACTTAACTACTGAGTCTTGATAACCATTAGTTTGTGTAATGAAGTGAAGTTGAATTCATTTTTGCATTGATTGTTTGAATCTTCTGATTGATGTTTAAGACTACAATTGATCAGTCTCTTTATTTCATTACCTATATTAATAATTGAAAGATTCTTTGAAAATGTTGATCTTTTGAAATACATCGAATACAAACACTGATTATTGATCGATATAAAACTCTATTTATAAAAGAATCAAAAAACAGATTGTATTTAGTTAAATAAAAGTTTAATTTAGGACTATTTTGATCTTAATTATCTTTTATAATTTTCTTTTTGATTATTCTCTTTAAAAAAAACTGAGGATTAATTCCGGAGAGAAAAAAAGACTATAGCTATATACAATTCAATATAAATTTATATTCAATTTTTTCTATTACACATTGAATTCAATATCTTAAAAAGAAACCTGTTTGCCTAAATATTAACCCCTCTATATATTATTTAAACTATTAAAACATGGTTTTCATCTCAATCAACTTAATCACTAGACCACTGAGCTGGCATTCAACGAAATTGAGCAAGACTGATAGGTCCTGGCTTCGGATCCCGCGAGGCGGGGGCGTGGATGCGCACTGCTGAAGAGTCCCATAATAGGACGAAACGGCCATCCAGTGCGTTGAGGTTTTCCATGATGGTCTAGCTTGATTTGACTTATGATCTCAACTATTGAAGTTACTACAATCTCCACAAAAAGCCCCTTCTGACACATGGAAAAAGGTGAACTTATTTACTAATTTAAAAATACGCGTGGAACTTATGATTATCATCGCTTTCAAGATTCTCGTTCGATATTGTGGTAGTAGTGTTGACTTGTTTTTTATCAGTCTTAACACTAGATGAATTGTCTTATATATATTTATATTCCACGAAATAGTTACTGAATGATTATTGTTTAGTAAAAATTTATGTTAAGTCATCTGACGAGATCGTTTATTTTCTAAGAACTTCGCTAGATAACATAGTACGCTAAACATGTAATCTAAAAAACGTTTTATTCACATAGATAGCTTTCTGGCAAACTATAGTTCTTTATACACAATTCTAAGTCAATTTCAAGCAATTATCCCATAATGTTTTCTATTCGAATGTATTAATAACAAGCAGGATATTCTAAACTTGTTTTTATAACACTAAACATATGCTGGATGTTAAACGTTGAATTGAAGTAAAAAGGGAATAGGGATAAAAGTGTTAATTAAATCTACATAAAATACATTTTAAAATGAAAACATCTACATTTGCTTTTCTATTTCAGCTCAATAATCAAGTTTTATATGGTCTTAGCCATTTGAATGCTGCTCCACTAATCAGATCTATTTATATGGAAGTGATAGGAAGAAGTAGCAATATTTTCAGACGTTCAAAATGTAATGCTTTGAGGTTTGTGATACAACGTCATTCGTCAAATACAAATCTTATGGCAGCATTAGCAACAAATCAACATGTAGATGTGAGTGATTCCAATGTGTTTAATAAATTATTTCTCCTTTTTACACTGATCATTTGTACGACAGCTATATTACACTATTTTCATCATGAGAGCCTGCATCCTTCATCTGTCGCCAATGTTTTAATTGATTTTATTCTAGTGATTCAAGTTTCATTTGTCATATTTATGGCGACTGAGTTTCAATCGGAAGTACTTGTATCCAGATAAGTCTATTTAAAATACAAGTGCCCAAAACATGTACAGAATTACTGGAATTTGATCACAAACTTACATCTTTGCTCTTATGAATATAAAGCCTTCTATAAGTCTTTACTGAACCGCATTTTAACACTTAAAGTGAATTATGTAGATCTATCGACTCTTTTTACCCTACACCAATCAGTCCTGATAATTAGTTCTACTGATTAATTACATCGTGATGAATTTCTGTTTTGACATGTCTTTTTAACATAACTATAATCCCCACAAACCTCTATCCTGTTAGTAATCATTTGTTCACTGGTGACTAGATTTAAGAAGGATGTTCTAGAGTTCTAGTGAGAAGCCGTGACCAGTGGAGTAAAATCCGTATCGAGTGTGAGACTGGTATCTACCTCAGACAATGAAAGATGGTCTCGCAATATCGTGAATTGGTTCAAGTTAGACATTAACACCATTGGATGCTGGCTCAATGATTTAGACATTAAGCGTTCGCTCGTGAGACCAGATGTTCTGAGATTGAGTCTCGTATGTGAAATCGCGGATGCACACTGCTGAGGAGTTTCGTACTAGGACGAAATGGCCGTTCAGTGTTTCGAGGTTTTTAATGGTGATCTCAAATTGATCGACTCGTTAGTTCAACCATTACTTTTTAACACAATCAGTTCATCTTTTCAACCTGATGTACAGGTTACCGAAATAAGTATTGATTGCTCAAAAGCTTTTTTTTTAAAAGAAATTATTAACCTTGACAGCTTGTTTCAGTTTTGATAAGATGTTTCTACCATCATTCAGAAATTTAGTTACAATTTATAAAACAACTGTAATTTATCAACAATCAGATAAACTGATCTGTCATGTTTATCAAATGAATAATAAACTCATGTTAAAGAAATTATGAAATAAATAGTTTAAGCGAATCAATGATGAAATTTTAAGCTATGCAGTAATTGGTTTCATGTTTTGAAACTTTTATTTCTTTAAATAGTCTTCTTCAGATCGATCCAGCCGACACACCAGTGTAGATACAACAACAAGTGCACTCACATCACCAGTGAAGAACATAAATAAAGCAAAACAATCTATAGAATTTATGAATTTAGCATTTGGTGGTTCACATGGACCTTTAACTCAACAAACATACTCTACAACGTTGTATAGAGTAAGTTGTTAAATGCCAATTAATATCTGTTATTTTATCATAGATTTGATCAGTGTTTTTTTTGTTTTTCTTATTGTATCTAAAAAAGGCTGAAACTTCAAAATCATTGTTTTATTAATGAGTTTTCAGCGATTAAGTAGACTTTGAAGATAAACTTCACTGTGAACTGAAAATAGCTGATGAGCTTTTAAAGACTAAGAATCAGTGATCAGTTGTTTTAGTCTCATTATTTCAGGAATTCTTAACAGGATACATTTCTGACCGCATGCAAGAGTGAATTCAGAACTTTTAAGTTACAAGTAAAACATAATGTCATTAGGCTCCACAATATTCGATGACCGACAGTTTCTTTTATTGGTTTTGTCATAGGGTTTCGACTGTAAAATCCAGTAGTTGATTATACGATTAGCGAAAAAGCTTAGCAAACCGAAGATAAAATGTTTTCATTGAAATTAATGAATTTTTCATAAACATGATAGTTTTATGAGTTAGAAGTCAACAAAATCCTTAATTTATTGACAATTTTCATCAGCATAAATTTCAGTCTCGTGATTAGTGTACTCGGTGAGTTATGTACGATAGATAATCACAGAAAATGGTTGGAATATTACCACTTTATTAAAATGGTGATGTATATCAGGTTATCTTCTCAACTAGATGCCGATAAAAATCTGAAATCCTTACCCAAAAGGTAACTTTTAGAAACATAGGACGAAAACGGATTCAAGGATCGTTTGATAAACTCATATATCATAGTTTACGTAAAATTAATCATTAATTTTCGATAAAATGTCATTCAGAACCAAAATAATGTCGTAAACCTTTAAATGAAAGAAATAAAACTATGCGTTCATAATAAACATTAAGAAATTGTATCACAAATATATTATTGTTCACACAAGCGCCAACTGCCGTCGAAATTTCATCTTTTAAAATAACTACGTAAATAAAACTTGAAATCAGAAAATTATTTACCTAAACTTTGTTTGAATCTTGTAAAATAAACACTTTTGATTCTGTTTGGTTAAAATAGATTTATTTATATTCAAAAAACAGTAGAAACCTTATATTTTAGTGGATTCCGAGCTAACATATTATTGGTATGTGATTATAAAGACTGGACTTTTTACGGATTTTTGAGGATTGAATTTATTTAATAAAATCCAGTAAATATAATCGAATTCTTATCATCTATTCCTGTTGTGTCATTTCTGTTAAAAAGTATTCTACCCAAATTATTCTTACTAAAAACCGAACGATGCTGTATGATAGTAGTTTTATTAAACAATTATTTAGATTATGACTTTAGTAATATGACATTAGTACCGTTGTATGCCGGCTCAGTGATCGAGACGTTAAGCGCTCGCGCGCGAGACCGATAGGTCCTGGATTTGAATTTCGCGGGGCAGGATCGTGGATGCGCACTCCTGCTGGGTCCCACACTAGGATGTAACGGCCGTCCTGTGCTCCCATGTTTTACATGGTGGTCTAGCTTCAATTGACTCATGAATTCAACTATTAAAATCATATATATGAGGTATTTTCAAGGCAAATCTTAGAAGATAGAACTTTATACATCTAGCTAATTATCTGGATTTTGAGAATAAAGATTAGTTCTGAATTACAACTTAAGATGTCTCAGCTGTTATGAGTTAAATTATTTACTTTATATTATAGGACACAGATTCGTTCATTGACGAAGAGTTCATGCTTCATGACGCTAAGCATTTATACGTGATTAAAAATTTCAGACAGAACCTTGTAACCCGGAGTTTATTGACAAACAAACGTTATTATTTTGTATTATTTTCAAATAGGGTTCTAAAGGATTTGGATTTGCAATAATGGAACGAAGTGCGACAAATGAAGAAGGAATTTATATTAAACAAATCGTTGAAGGTGGTCCAGCTGATAAAGTATGTTTTAGTAAACTTTTTGTACACAATTCCGATTTCAGTTTATTAGATTTTGGACACTATTAATTAATAACTGGTACGCTATTTAATACAATAATTAATATTCAGATACCAAAATAAGTGACAATTAACATGCTTGAGAAATAGAAAGAACTTTTACGTTTATCTGTATAATGTATACTAAGCGATACAGGCAACACCAAATGACACAAACATTAACTAATCTCAAAATAATTTTCTCTGGTAGGAAACTCATGATTTTGTGTAATTATTTATTTTGAAGTTTATTCATTTGTATAGTTCTACCATAATTTATTATGGATTTAATATTGACATCAGTTTATGCGTTTATCTGATATTTTCCACCTCATTCCAGTAGTATAGATATTCGTTATGGTGAATCTGAGATCCCTAAGTGATACAAAGTTATATACATGTATATCCATTATTCTTAAGTCACGTTTTGACAGTGTTAATTATTCACTTATCAACCCTGACTGTTTTTATATGAGCGTAGGTGTGTACACTTCTCATCCTACTCATCACATGTTTGTAGCTTATTTTTGTGTGATTATAAATACTGATTAACGCTTGATTAAAGGGAGTTGGCTCACACGTCCTCTCCACCGCGCGTCATTTCCCTTCGCTTCCTTCCACTCTCTTCATCCCTCTCATTTCCTGTCCAGATCAATGAGTGTACAAAATATAGGTATCCAAAAATCCATTCTCGTATTTGATTTATTTAATTCCGTTATTCACTAACGCTAAGTCGATAATGATATGTGAGATTTAACGATATATATATATATATATATATATATATATATATATATACATATATAGTTAGGTTTGAAGCTTCACGAGTTCACTTAACCTGCGAACGAGAACAAGACTCAGTGACCAAAGACCAGTAATCTAGCTATTGATGCGTTCCAGCCCCGCTATCTGGAAGGAGAAGTCCAAGCTTGATATGGAAAATATATTCTGCAAACAGCCAGAAAACGAGCGAGCCCACAAACACAATTTAAAACGTATATATACAAATGTATATAATCGATTTTGTCAATGGGAGATTTTTAAACACTGACCGATGAGTTCATCAATTGACTGCTAATGATCATTTAATCGATAAGTTAATCGATATGATAAAATTACAAAATATGAGTTTTGGGGATATATCGTCCCCAACATTTATATATATATATATATATATATATATATATATATATATATATATATATATATATGTTGTTCACACTTTAGTGAACAAATAGTTCACTCCACATTATTATTTTCAGATTGTTAATTCAAAAACATTATTAAAGCAACTTATATATTTTTTGTTGATATAGAAATAAGATGCTTTATTGTTTTCTGATTTATGTCTATTGACAATACTATCTTGTCATTTGACGTAAATACGATTCAGAAGGTCACATTTACATTCATATTGTTAGTTGTACTAAATTTGTATTTGATAACTTAGTTTATACCTACTTGAACAAAACAAACTTCCATTGAAATGTCATGCAAATAAATTATAAATTTTCTATTTTCGATCGATATTCTGTATACAAAAATTCATTATATCAAAGGTATTTAAAGTTATGAAGATTGAAATAGGTTATAAAAAAGACGACCATATACCTTATGATATCGCAAAGATATTCTAATTATAATTCTGTTCTCTACAGTACTTTAAAAGTACTACGTTTAGTGACTGACAAATTTTATCCTATAGTGCTGTTGTGAACGAGAACACTAGTGGGGACAACCAAATGTATATTTAAATACAAAACTACAGAACATCTTAGTAAAATCCGTGAATCATACGGTAAATACTTAATTTGCAAAATGTCAACTAATTATTTCAAACTTAACTGTTCCTTTTGTAAGTGTCAATCAATCGTCTCAGACTTCACTGTCCCTTCATTTCCACAGCAATCATTCTCGGTTCTCGTTCTCTTTTCTTCGATCTTCTTAACCTTCTGCTGCCAGGCATTTCACTTTTGATTGATGATACAAACTACTTATATCTATCGACATCAGTAGCACAACACAGTAACAATAATTAAAGTAAGATAGTTAAATCATTCTAATGTAAACTAAAGTGTATGATCACTGCAAAAAAGATAAATAGAATTATCAGAAGCCAAGCAAGCATTATAAATCATTACATAATTCTATTCATGGACAACATAAATGTTCCATATCCCATTATTTTTAAAATGAAATATTGGTTTGTGTTAATATTTTGCTTTTAGTAAATCAAAATTAATATTAAAATTAGATTAAAAAAATAACTGATTTGAATTTCAGATAGCAACTATCAGATTATCGAAGTACATATGTAGAAAACACAAATTTTAGTCAAATACATGGATGGAATTTAATGGATTTAATAGAAATGTTTTACATTTCTATGACAGTTTAAACATAGATTCAGTTTAGAAGCTGTCATTGATATTCCATTCATATTATAAAACAAGTATTCATGTGAATAACATGGTTTATTTATAAAGAGTTTTATTGTAATTTCTATTTGTATATTTTAAGGATGGTATTTTATGTGCTGGCGATCAATTAATTAAAATAAACAAAAAAGATGTGACACATATACCTTACGACACAGTAGTAGAATGGATACGATCTGCAAAACATATTGTAAGTTTATTTTCTACTTTTGATTAGTTAATTTTAAAATGTAAAGGTCATTCCATAATAATATATTATAACTCTTGATTAAAATTCGTCTGAATAAAGTCACAGTATTCGAGTGCCAAGTTAGTGTAAGACATTAAGAAGGAAGAATGTATTTGTAGAAATCTCAACGAATCAATATAAAGTAAATTTAACGTTTCGACTGGTAATCTTAACCAAGCTTTTTCAAAGGGAAATTAACATTAATAAATTAACTAGATTGCTATACGAAACGTTGGATTTACTAGAAAGGCCATACTCTTTGAATTAATTAATTTTTAATTGATTATTATTTAATATAACACGAAATGATGTATGGAACCGTTAACAGGAGAAGTAATCATAGAAGTAGTGAATAATTTCTATTCTACACTAAAATAGTCTTTCAGTATCGTGAAAAAAGGAAGTAGCTTAAACTTATATTTAATAAAATATTTTAATCTTTTTTGATGGAGTTTTGTTCTTTGAGCTAGATGGTTTGGTCGTGGAGCTTTCATCGTTCTTCTGAACGACATCATCAGCACAAACTTCATATAGAAGTCGTGTTTATGCTTATCATTTCGATATTTGATGCAAAATGAAAGAAAAGGTTTACCTTGTTTATTCTTATTTTTTATAAATCGAGAAGTGATTAGAGAAATTTTGTAATACCATTTATTACGACACAATTGGTGCTGAATTTCAAAATCTCGTAATGACACTTTAAAAATCTATGTAGCAATAAAAGAGAAGAGACAATGGGATACTGAATCAAACTGTGCAAACATAAATTCTGAACTTCATTTTCTTTATGAATAATTACTAAAAACACGATGCCTATTTCGTCAATTAATTGATATTTTCAATTTTAAAATAAACTTACCATTTAATTATTACTGAATCATTTATGACATAAGATAACTTTGATATGGAAACAACTAAGATTAATCAATAAGATGAAGAGATTAAATTAAGGTTATTCTTTGTTCAAGTTTGTCTAGATGATTAAAGAATAAGAAATTATGCTTGATTATTTTTAATGACATTCTATCCAATATTCAGTTACATAATTCCATAAATGATCACTACTGTTTAAACGTAAATTCACATTAAATATCTTTCATTTGAATAGGTAATTCACAGGAATTTGAATTGAGCCGTTCAGCTGATAATTAATTAAAATTATGATTGTTTAGTGCTAATCAGTGAGATTGTTCTTAATGTATTTCCTAACATTTTATTGGAATCTATAATTTAGATGATTATCCAAATCACGATTTAGGAATGAGAATTGCACTATCAAAATGATGATGATTCTGTTTCTAGCTCAGTGATTTACAGTTTTCATTCTCACATTAAAACTTAAAGTTCATGGATTCTATCCTGTTTTGAATAGGAGATAATCACAGATGAATGCAACTTAATGTTATATATATATATATATATATATATATATATATATATATATATATATATATGTTTATATAATTTACTTTTATCTTTATTTTTATGCTTATTTGCTTTCAGCTTCATGTACAAGTTACACGGTGGGGTTTCAATATTCAAGCAAGCGCAGAAACAAAATCATCAACTAAACGTTTCTCAGATCCATCTGTACTGAATACATTTGCATCTGTTTTATTTGGTAATAATGAAATGAAAAATTTTATATCCCCAGTTAATACATGCCGAGAATTAATTAACACAAAACCTTTAAACGTATTATCCTCAATTGAAAGTGGTAGGTAATTATTTTTTTCTACATTGAACAATAATTAGCGGTTGTTTTTAAAAATATAATTTAGAATAAATGTTACGATATAAACAAATAGATATTACATTTATTTGAGACTTTTGTCCTATTTCTCCTTATTATCATGAAATCATAAATAGAACTATGATGATGTTTTCTGCTAGTTGATGAATAAAATAACTAAGAAGTTTAATGATGGATTAGCGATTTCTTTGGTTTCAATCAATCTACACTAAAACATATTGTAATCAAAGAATTAATGAATATGTCACATAATCCGTAATACAATATTGAATCATTGTGTTTATTATAATTAGAGTATGCGTGTTTTCATTCTCTACTGAACGCATTTTGTATTATACATGAAAAGGATAATAGATGTTTAGTTTTCGAAGTTTTACATCTATATTGGCAAAAATTATCTGTTTTGAAAATTAAATCCAGCTCTACAAAAAGAGCAGAGTTCATACTGAGATTTTGAGTGTAACTTTGTGTTTCAATCGTTTAAGGAAGTGTACTACTGAATATGATGGAATTTCCATTGTCCATTGTTTTGCCTAAGTCATTATTAAAAATTCACAGTAACTCACATTCCGTCCACCCTAAAGATTGAATTAAGTGTTACAAAATAACAATTTAAACGTTTTTTCTTTGTCCTGTTTTCATTTGTTAGTTAAAGTCTGCATAAAACATTCACTTGTTTTAATAAGCTTTATTTGATATTCTAATGGTAGGACAAAATCAGAGAAATGTCTTGGCTTTTATGCTTCTTTTCATCATTTTATTATCATATGTATGTTTTCCTGATATGAAACATAATACCTACCCGTAAAGTAGTCTTCTGAATCAAATATTTTGTTTAATTAAGGGGATTAGTGAATTCTCACAATTAGAGAATAACTTTAACTTATTTAATTTCAATTTTCGGGATTTCTGGAGATTACAGTATCGTTGATGCTCACTGCTAAGGATCTCGATAATAGGATGAAACGGTCATCTAATGCTTCCAGGTTTTCAATGGTGGTTTAGCTTAGATTGACTAGTGAACTCAACTTTTATATATATTTATCATTGAGAAAATCAAATGAATAAATTTGATTTATGTCTGTGTAACCTTATTTGTTCATTAACTCATATACATAAGAAATAAACATTTACTGTAAGGAAGAATCTAACGAGTGTTGTTGATAACATGCTTTCAGTAGTTAAAGTTATATCAGATGTATGAAAAGTTTGTTTTTAAAATAAATGATATATTACTCGTAAAACAATGATAATCAGAATAATTTCTCTACAAAAAGACTGAAAGGTTGAAATATGATTTCTAGTGTACATAGTCTGTTCAATTCCAGTGAATTCTGCGGACTGAAAAGCTTGTTGACAGTTTCACTATTTCTTTATAATTTGGTTCTTATCATTTTGTTAAGGTGTCTGACATTATGGATACTCTGTCCAATCTATATAATTCAGGGTCACTTAGAAATATTAACTAGATAGGTGGAAGCTTAGACTGAAAGAACAATACGTTTATAGTAGTGTGATTGCACGCCATCTCTTTGATAGTGGTCATGATGTTTATGTCTCAAAGTCCTTTAAGATAACTAATAAACAAAAAAACGTCAAATTTACTGCGGTTTGCTAAAGCAATCACCATAAAAAGAATTAAAGCAAATTTATGTATCCAGAACAATTTAGTTGTCAATCATGCCTTGCTGTATTGAACTCATTCATAAATATTTGTAACAAGATTCTCTTTTTTAATTATACTAATTATTAATACTCATTTTCTGTCTGATCTGTACTCTGTTGGCCAATTTTTTCAAGATTTACTTAACTAGAACATTAATATGTCATTTCTAAATAATTCTGTTTCTATGTTCTTAGTTATTTATTCTATGATATTCCTGTATTAAACCTTTAAGTATTAACATTAATTAACATGTGAACATCTCTTATAGTTCTTGCATAATAATTGCTTTTTTCATCAGTCTTCATTGATGAGAACCCTACCCATGTTATGATATAAAGTATGCAGACTGATTTTTAAAGATTATAATATTATGTTTAGGTTTTAAGCAGCTGACGTGGAGCTACAAAATAGAATGAATTCATGTTATTCTGCTACATTATTTGTTCTAGCTTCACTCAAATTTGTAAATGGGAAAAACTGTACAAAGAATATAAACTAAGTAATTGATCGGGATGTTCCGAAAGTCTGAAGGCTAATGGGCTGTATCCTCTATTTGAAAAATTATCACAGACTAATAATTGCATGAAACAACTATGGTTAGGTGGTTTATAAGTTTCTTCAAATAGGTAATCCATGAGAGTTGCGTTGAACCAAGATTGAATAAAACATACCTCACATCTTTATGACAGATTTCTGATCTGTGCGAAATTAAGAAAGTGACAGAAATACGTCTTGTAGAATAATCACTTCAATAGCATAACTTAAGAATGTGTAAGCTCTTATTGATGAAGTAGCCATTAATTGTAAAACATTGAAGTAGTTACTACTTGATTAAATAGGTTTCTAACACATGCTTTCAAACCATCATAATGCCATTTGTTTTGAACATATGACAATAGTTCATCCTACTAAGGGTAAGGTTGATTTTTTCTACTTCAGAATGTACTACGTTTTTCACATACAAACACTTCTTCATTACAGATGTATTAATTTCAAACATTTACACATTTGTATTGAATACTTCTGATAAAAAGTCAATATAGTAGTTGTTTTGCATGCTTTTTTTAAGTTACCAGTCTTACTTTACGTCATTTATTCACCTTCTAAAAGAAATCTGTAAACGTTTTGTTCAGTTCTTTTTACACAAAAGACGAACACAAACTGTCAGTATGCTGATATTGTAGTGTTTAGTTTTTCTACAATACTAACTTGAAAGTCAATTGATTAAAATATGCTTCGGGTAAATAATTTTGCCCTTTATTAACCATTTTCGATGTATATATAACATAGTGTCATGTATGTTTCGTTTTAAATATCCTTTGAAGTAAACATTTTAAGAAAAAGTTGTTATATTTCCTATAAATATATGAAATACTTATGAACTAACGTCACCGATGATATTTACACGCACGAAGATATTGATAAAATATATATGATTTAGTGACAGAACGTATTTTTGTTCCCAGTTATTTACTGAAAATGAACCTTAAAATAAACCTGTTATGATGGTAATTATTTTTCTTATTATAACAAGTTTTTTATATCATTGCCCAGCAAATGATGAGTTTTTTTGACAAGTCACATATTTAAAATGTTTTAGATTTATACCGATTTATGGTTACGTTCTTGTATATCTGTTAGGTAGAGTTAATCAATAGGTCATCATGAATCCATAGTTTTAGTTGTTTATCTCTCATCAACAAGGTGTATCTACAACCGTGATGGAACTGATACTTTCATATGACTCATAATTGCCTTTCACATTATGATAGTTGGAGACGATTTACTGTAGGTTTGAGATATTTACACTAGTTAGTCGCTGAGTAACACTTGTGTCACTTGTATCATATTTAGTCCTCAACGAATCCTAAAAAATAAGTCACAACATGGCGCTTAGTCAAAGCTGCTCAATATCAGACCAAGTATGTTTTGATATTAAGCGGTTAAAGAGGATTTTCAGGTAGCCCCATAAATATTGAGACTGATATGTGATATTTAATCATTTGATAATGAAGATCAGTCAAAAAAATAAGTTGATAAATTAAAAATGGTATTTATAACATCAATTAAGTATCTGTCATTCATAAATAAATTGTTTAGTTATTCGCTTTATCTTTTTCATTAAAAGTGCATTATGTTGATTATTTCCTAACAGTAATCTATAAAAAAATTATCCCTTAAATTGCGCATTATATATACATCAAGATGTAGCTGATATTTCGTCTGCTGACCGTAATGAGTGTATGGTGCTATGGAGTCAACTCCGTAATACTTTGAGGCTGTAACGCCTTCGTCAACTACAGGTTTTTGATCATGTGTTTCTATGAAGCGTCGCTTGTGTTTCTTGAAGCAACCAAATAAGCGAATGAGGTTAGGTATAAAGTACTGACCAAAAGTGGCAAGTAGGCGATGATTCTCCACTGACCATGGTGGGTAGAACATGTTTTACGTATGCCTAGTAACCGCTTATTTCGACAGGTAATGGTTGCTGGTGTAGGAGTAGATTGAAAGAAAGCCATAAATTGTTGATTCTAACCTTTTTAGAAGATTCATACTACCTATCTGGGGTCCATGAGATAACCGCAATCAGTGGTTCCGGACTTTGAGTAATATGTGTCAGAATCGTTCATGGTAATGCAAATGAATTAACTTGTTCTCCTACTCTAAATCTCAAGTCCTATTATACCCTCATATGTAACTTTCCACAGTTTCTTGAAGCCTTTTTTTAATTACTGAGTCTTTTCCATTGTCACCATTACCACATTATCTTGATTTTTTGCTACTCATTAATGTCATTTCACCGTATTAATGCGATACAGAAAATTGGACCAACATACATCTATTCCAGGCTGTACTCTGGCGAGAACTGGTGGTGAATTGTGTGATATATATGTTGATCCAACAATGGAAACTATCAACCCTCAGACATGTAGCTCCCTTAACAATAAACACCTTTTATATATGATATATCATATGGTAAAAAGGTAATTGGACTGTCAAATATATCTAAATCATAAATAATATGGATCTATAAAATAAACAAATAAAATGATTCATCTTAGAGTCAATGACTAAATTAATTTAAAGTACATAAATACAAGTTTCCGGGTTTATTGAACTCTTGGCAATATCATGTTTTATAAGTTAAAATAATGGTATATACTGTTTAGAATAATAAATTAGATAGTTATTGTAAGAATTTTAATTTTAATTTCTAAAATCCATTAACATATTAAAATTAAACAGTTCAAACAAATGAATTTGCCAGAAGGGGTTTTTGTGGATATTATGGTAATTTTGATAGTTGATATCAAGAGTCAGTTGATTCTAGACCACCATGGAAAACCTGGAATCACTGGAGGGCCGTTTCGTCTTAGTGTGGGACTCAGAAGTGCGCATCCACGATCCCGCCTTGCAAGACTCGGACCCGGGTCCTATCAGTCTCGCGCACAAACGTTTAACCTCTACATCACTGACTCGATATCCAACCAACGGTATTAATGTTTAACTTCAATTAACCCTTTAATCGGTTCATGATTTCAATGAGAAGTATAAAGCTTTTACAATACCGTATCTAGCGTATATGCCATCCGACGAACAGGTTGTGAGGGCTGACCCAATGAAAAAATTTCATTCATGAACATGTTGCTAACTCACTGTTGTATAGATCCTTATTTTTTTAGACAAATTTCATTCAATTCTAGAAAATTTATTTACTTATTTCGTACATATATGTATGAGGTCTCGATTGTCTTTGTGATGTAAGAAGAGTAAAAGAAACTTGTCGAAATGTTCTTTGATAAGAATTCCATTTTGTACTGAACATATCATGTTAAATAAACCTATTATTATTATTATTATTATTATTATTATTATTATTATTATTATTACTCAGTTCACTGGCAATAATAATTAGTGACAAAGGTTTGAGGACAAAGAGGAATATTTGTTTCTCTAAGACTATAGGTATATCTGGCAGATAGATCCTATATAGTATAAAATCTAGACCTTGATCTTCTCGATAATTACCACCTAACATGACAGAAATCTGAATGAATGAAGTAATAATTTAGGGAAATTACAATATAAATCAACTCAAAGACATCTTCACCATGGCAAATGTCAGGCAAATAATAAACATTTCTCAAGAATCTTATTTTGTATTCTCGACTTTGAAATCATAGTTTGTGTGTGACAAATTGTTCAAACTATCTTCTGGAAAATAACTAAGCAAGTCAAAGGTTCAATTGAGCATACCTTCAGAACAATTCAAACATAAGGTATTAGATCTTTGGACTCAAGAAGAACATCTTACCATATATGATGAGTTCAAATGCTTTTCAATGTTCGCTTTATAATTTTAATTTTAATTAATAAAAATGAACTTGTTAAACTTTCATAATATGTTTTGCCTTTTCGAAACCATAAAGGTACGAGCTGGTTAGTACCCCGACAAATCGTATCAAGGTATCGTCGTGCAAGTTTTCCAAACATCTGTTATAAACGAGAGCATATTCCTACTACTGTTCTTCAGCCTTTGCCAAACTATTCAACAACTTCAATAAACCTTCAAGGAGATATAATGAATTTCGATAAAATCTCAATTTTAATAAATGACGAACCAGAAATCGAAGCAACAATCCGCCCCATCAAGTCTGGAACTGAAACTGAAATATCGATCGCAATAAATAATTCTTGTGGTCTAGGAATAGGCTGTATAGGAGGCTGTGAAACAGCACTAGTAAGCGTGCAAATGCTTTATTTTATACATATACACTTTTTACATACTATGAACAAAAAATAACTTCATGTTAACTCTCAGAAGAATTTTACATCGAAAACATGAGTCGCCGTTTAAGTGATTTCATTTCATTTCATTTAAAACTAAAAGTAATTACTAAAAGTACTGAAGTATGTATACCGAATTTTAGTAGTAGCAGTAGTTTTTTAGTAATCTGTATAAAAACAGAATAAACAATAGAGAATATAAGCAAAGATAGATGGTGGCTAGCAGTGGAATCCAGGACACAGGTTTCATCCTATTTGTGACTCGTCAGTTGGATGTACCTATATCTTTGATTTGGGACTCAAACCCAGTACTGTTCATTTCAAATGTCATCACATTATTCACTTAGCTACTGAATAGAAAAATGGTGTAAAATAATGAAATGTTTCATATTTGATTAAACGTTTGTTAACGAACTCACTTTATTTTTTGGGAAGAAACATTATCTGAAGTCATTACCAAAAAAACAGTCTTATTTTCTACCATAGAATAAAATAATTTTTTGTCGGGTATATAATAAAATTTTAGTCTTGTTATACTTTTATAATGTAAATTCACTTGGTGTTGTTTTTTACTTGTGTCTTCCCATTGTTATTCAGGACTGTCATTGATCAGCCTCATGTGCATCCTGTGCAGATTGCCTTGATATAGCCTTAAGTCACAAGCTTTTTAAGCAAAGATGGATAGTGGCTAACAGTGAATTCCAAGACGCGCGTTTCGTCCTATTTCGGACTCGTCAGCTGGATGTACTCGCATTGAGTCGATTTTTACTCTGGGACTTGAACCCAGTACATGAGACTGATCAATCGCAGTCTTAAATAACAATGGGAAGATACAAGTAAAAAACAACAAGTGAATTTAAAATTCACCCCATTGCACAAGCAGGTGGCTATCAGGACTCAATATCTAAGCGGATAACGTGATGGCGTTTGAAGAGAACGGTGCTGGGTTTGAGTTCCAGAGTAAATATCAACTCTGGGATGTAGATACATCCAACTGACGAGTTCCAAATGGGACGAAACGCACGTCCTGGATTCCACTGCTAGACAATATCCATCTTCGCTTTTATGATGTGGTCATAATTTTTTTCAAACCTTAACAACATAATTACATCCTCCATGTTGTTGTTTTTTTAAAGTTTGTTATAAACCTATTGATTTAAAATATGTTCATCTTATTCTTAATCATGTGATTATAAGTTTGTTTTGAATAAATAAATTTTTGTTTATTTACATGTGATATTAATATGAAATTACAACTAAATGTAGAATACATAAATAATAAATAAATAAAGATATGAGAAATCTTCTCTCTCATTAATAATACAGACAATTAAGATTTATATGGATCGTCTTGTAGGCTTTTTATAAACATTTGAACTGATACATCTATGGTTAACGACTTCAGTTCTAACTAAATCCATCATTTTCTTACCTCTTAAAGAGAACATCAAACTTTCAATTTCGATGATAATTGATTAATTACTACTGTGAATTAAAATTGAGATTTCCATATACTGTGATATAGAACTGTTACTAAGTGTATTAGTAAAATGTAATATTTCTTCCCTGTTAAATTGCTAAAATGTGAATACCAATGAAAGATAATAATGCATGTTGAATAGATTGACATAAGTGTAAACTATAAACGATAATAATTGACTTATTGTCTATTAAAATCTAACAGTGAACTACAGTAACAGTTTCACAATGATATTTGTTTTGTATTGATAAATTTGTTTGATCCACAAATTATTGGAGTAATCGAAACTCATTCTGTTTTAAACTATCTAACATATCATTTATTTTATATAGTTTTCAGCAGCATGTAAGGGTTCGTGTTTTCCTAAATAGAAAATGTTTACTGAATTTCTGTCATAATAAAATAAATATTTCTTCGTTCTGCTAACAGTTTTATGATCATTTGTTGTGGTAACATAATGTAGAATGCCTTACCCAACTATTTAAATTCTACCGTGGTAAGGGATAAGAACCTGAATGTTTGTGTGTGTTCCATTATAACTTTGTAAATAATACTATGGTATTTAGTGTAATATATCAAATAACCTCATAACCTCCATGAAAATGTCAATGGTTTAATGGAGATTTTACACGTTCAAGATAGTTCAATAATGTATGCTCACCCCTGTTCACAACAATAGGTATGTAATTGATAGATTACCTTGTTAATCATTTTAACTTCGACTATGTAACTACATTCATAAGGCTACCACGATAATGTGCTGTAACTTACCTCGTTTTCAAAGAAATAAAATTTGTCATGGTAGGGTATTTTTCTGTAATTTCAGTTTTACTATTATTAGTAGGAAAAACTTATCAGTTGTTGTTAACTTAATTTTAACTTCAGATATTCGTTCTATATCATTTCGTCAGAAATATATTTAACTCAATTGAATCAATCGATTTTCAACAAAGTTTATAGAATGATAAACATGAAACAAGATCTCCTAATCAGTAGTATTGATCTTTGTTAAAATTTGATAATAATTATGATAATATGAAACCAGAGTGGACGTGTACAAATCTTTCTATTAAATTTCATAAGTACCATTATCATGCATGTGACGAAAATCAACTTTGTTTTGTTTGTTTAATGATGTATTTAGATTACGTTTCAGACAAGATTAGGAAATATTTTCACTGATCTAAGTTTAATATGCACATGTTATGTAATTTTTGGATCTGAATATTTTAATATCTTATTAGTGAATACATACTTTTCAAGTAAATCTGACATAAATTATCAGCTGAAATCTTGTTAAAGTGTCCTTATCTAATTAACTGTGATAATTATAACAATAGTATGATGTACATTTTAGAGGTAATTCTCATCTTCTCTAAATGTGAGCCTTCATTTCTGTTTCCATTATATTTTAACTATGAGATATTTATCAATCTAATAAATAAACAGATTCTTATAGAATTCTCGGTATTGTTTACTTGAAACTTTACATTGATGTTTACGACTGAAATTGATCAATCTCTTATTGGCATACGTGCATACTGTGAGTATTACCTCGATACTGCCTTAACTCACGAGCATTATAAACAAAGATAGATAGTGAACATCAAATTTGAGATGCAGGTAAATTCATCTAACGAGTACTAAATAGAACGAAACATGCGTCCTGGATTCTACTGCTAGCCACTATCCATCTTTGCTTATATAAAATTTCTGTTAAATAATATCTGAATATGCTTTGTTGGACAGTTTATAGGTATTCTTTGAATTCTTATTAGGCTTTATTGTTATTGTTTACTGAATTCGAAGATAAATTTAATAAAAACTGACAACAAATAAATAAGCACTTGAAATCAAATAGTATTCTTCTTATTGACAGAACTAAACTGAAAACCTTTGATTCTAATCTCAATCAATTTGCCTTAGGCTATAACTTTTTTTAAATGTAACTTGACAATTATCAAGATTAAAATGGTTTAGCAGATCTTTCTATGCTGTGGTTGTATGGAATAACTTGAAAAATCAATGAAGGATGTAATGATTTAAGCAGCTTCATCAACAGGTTTATATAAGTTTGTTTTGTTATTTACTATTTTAAAATAATAACCTTGAAACCGATTTATATAAAATTCTTAAAACTACTCAACAACAAATGAAAATTGAAAATAAACAATCGGTTTTCTAAGTTATTTCAAGTTAAAATTTATTAACATTCTATTGAAGTATTGTAAAGTTATTCGAAGTGTAAATTTTTATACAAATAATTATAAAACCAATATTTTTTTTACAGAATGTTCCAGTTATACATGAAATCTATCCTAATGGTGCAGCGGCAAAAGATGGACGTTTGCGTCCAGGGGATCGAATTAGTAATGTCAATCGAATATCATTAGTTGGTGTACCATTTTTGGAAGCTATGAATAAACTTCAAATGGCTTATATTAGCAAATCGTCTATGATAAAACTAGATTCAGATGATGAAAATGAAAATATTTCTTTATCAAATCAAGAACAAAGTTATTTAAATCTCACTATATTTCGACCAACAGAACAAAGTCAGAAATGGTTTGACCAAGAATTAGTAATTGAATTATTGAAGAAATCTGGAAAAGGTTTGGGAATTTGTATTGCGGATCGATGTGTACATCTTAAACTAGATGAAAATTTGTCAGAGAATGAAAATACTTTAAAGGTACAAGATAATTCCTATGTAAACACTTCCGAAATGCAAACATCATATGGCGTTATTGTTACTGAAATAGTGAGTCGATTTCAGTAATAATCATGATTTTTACTTTTTACTTTATTGTACAGTTACTAACAGAAATGTGAAAAAATGGTTATAAATAACAATCGTCAGCATAAATCGAGAATTAAATCTGTGAAATGAGTCTACTTGGTCATTCCGAATTACTGAGCTAAAACTCCTCTAACCTGTAAGCGAAAGTGACTAATTGATTTTCTACTCATGGTAAAAATGATAAATCCCTTGGGATTAAAAATAACATATAAACAACCCTAAAATTTACTGTATGATAATTATAAGATGACCCGATGCTCATGAATAATTTGAATCAGAATAATAATTATTCAAATGTGAAGCCTTTCAATAACACTTTTATATTTGTTGTACATAATGTAAGAAAACGTATGTACTAAAATATAGTAATAATTTATTTCAAAGATAATTGAGGGACTTCAGGCTATTCTTGTTGACTTGTGGGGTCAATTTGTCTGTAATAATCGTTGAAATATTTCAAGAGAAATTGCTGAGATCTTCGAAGTCAACTTCACTCATGATTTTGATAAATGAAATTGATTCCATATAATTAACTAGATCTTTCAGAAACTGTGTTATTCATTTTCCTATCAGTAAAAAATTAATCAGGAAAATAATCCTATCTCTCTTCAAACTTAATTGATTCAAAATTCATATCATTTATTTTAATCTATGCGTTTATTCAGAACTTAATAAACAATATTGATAGTAAGTGTTGTGACGTGCGGTGTCCGAAATCTGGTACTAATACACGGTATGCTGTGTGATGACCCCCCCCTCAACTGTCTACGTGAGCGAGAAAGTGTACTGGACTACCGAATGGAATGCGCAAATACTCATTCATATCTATGCCATCCTTAGGAAAGTGACCCATTAACCCCGATGAAATTCACTTAACCTTTGGGTCTCTTCTGATTGCCATCAACTGACCTTTTTCTACTTCTGATTGACTCTCCATATCAGTAAGACTAAGCTAGTTTAACATATTTACTGATTGTAAAAATATGTTTTACGAACAATTCGTTATTCTCTATGATCAAGTTTTCATGAATTCCAAGAAAAATTTAACATTTTGTTATTTTACTAGATTAAAGGATCGATTGCAGCAACTGATGGTCGTCTCATGGCAAATGATCAAATCCTGGAAGTAAATGGTAAAGATACAAGCACATTAACTAGTGAAATTGTTGGTGCTCTATTGAAGGTAATTAAATATCTCATACTTTAGTAAATAATGTAGATTTTCACCATTACTAGTAAATATGGTGGTACAGCTTATTCATGGAATCAACAGAATATTTAGTTACAAGTTAAATGTTTTTGACGTGATGAAGAATATTGTCGAATAAAAGGTTTTGTTTTCCATAATTATTATTGGAGGTTAAGGCTCATACAAAATGTTCACTTAGTAATAACTTCAGTCGTTTTTCTTTAATTTGCTTAGCTCCTGTCATATTATAAAATCAGCTTGTGTGTAACAAAAGCAATCATTCAAGCAGTAAATATTTTATTATTTTAATTCTACATAGAACAGTTTTCTTCAGAAATTCAGTTTAAAATTCACATATTCTTCATGCTACGGCAACTGAACTTACTAAATATCAGTGTTGGCTTTTTTGAATAAGGATTCGTACTTTTAAAACCATCGGGTTTATAGACAACTGGAAGGTCCTTCACTAAACGTACTTGTTATTAAACGCATTAGTAACAACTAAGAACTAAATGTGTAAGAACATTTTTTTTGGATGCTACATTCATTGTTGAACATAAATTCAAATTTTTAGTGTAATGACTATTAAGCTTTTAACAATTCTACTTGATGAATTAGAAATGTTAGTAGTCGAATTCATGAGTCGATGTGAGCTAGACTACCATTGAAAAACCGGAAGCACTGAACAGCCGCTTCGTTCTTTTATGGAACTTCTCAGCAGTACCCATCCACGATCCCGCATGCGGGACTCAAACCCAAGATCTTTGGTCTCACACGCGGACGTTTAACTTCGAGATCACATCAGAGATCATGGATGGGTGCTTCTGAAGAACGCCATGCTAGGATGAAACTGCCGTCAGGTTCACAATGGTGGTCTAGCTTACATCGACTCATTAACCCAACTACTGAAATCACTACAATCTCTACAAACCCTATTTTGATAAAAAATAATTTAAAAATTGTTGTAGTTAAAAAAGAAGCATATCTGATTGATAAATCTCTTTTTTTAGGCAGCTCCATATAAAGTTATTCTCAAAGTAGGAAGACTGAAAAATCAGATTGCTATACCAAATTCAGCTGCATTTCTTTTTAATGATCCTTGTCAAGTTAGACGATAGACTATACAGACTAAACAAGTAAGTAAATCTTTATGATTCATCTTTAAATCAATTGCCTACAATTACCTTCATTTTGTTTTATGTGAACGATATATTATCTACGCTTATTTGATTTAAGTTAAATAAACAAACAGACGCAAATACTTTATGAACAGAAATTATCAATCCTATATACATGGTTGTAAGTCTATGAATAAAAGCCAATAATATGACGTTAGAAACCGATTTGCAAAATAATAGAGATTACATTTATGTTGTGTTTATAATTGTATAATTGTAAATAAGATGAAGGAATACACTTTCTTTTCTTGAAACTCCAAACATCATATAGTGTTCAAGCAGTCGGTTTTTGTCTCTTCAACAATTATGAAATTTTAATACTTCAATTCATCAGTTGATCTAATCTAAACCACCATTGAAAACCTGGAAACACTGGATGGCCGTTTTGCCCTAGTATGGGACAATTCGTCTGTATCTATCCACGATATGCACGCAAAATCTGAGCCAAAAACCTTCGATCTCGCGCACAAACGCTTAACTTCTTGACTAATTATCCGGCATCTAACGTTGTTAACATCTAACTTCAATCGATGCATGATCTTGCGCAACCATCCATCCATTGTCTGAGGTAGATACTTGTCTCACACCCGAAACGGATTGTGCTCTACTGATCGCGGCTTCCCATCAGAAGTTGGGTTTGAGTCCCGCATGTGGGATCGTGGATGTACACTGCTGAGGAGTTTCGTACTATGATGGAACGGCCATTCAGTGTTTCTAGGTTTTCAGTGGTGGTCCAGCTTACATCGTCTCATAAATTTAACTATTCAATATACTACAATTTTCAGATAATTATGAAATTACTGGGATTCTAAAAATTATATTTTTGTATTTTGCTTATCACAATACACTTGGTTGGATATTGATCTCTTAAACAATCGGAGTTTATGGTATCCAAGTGAATCTGTATACAAATCAGGATTTAGACAAAGTATTAAACTTCATTAACTTTCTTTAATAACCTATTGTAAATCATTTTAACAGTAGTAAAATTCAAAGTATATCACTCTAACATTAAACTAAATGACTTCAATTTCCGACATTAAAGAATTTAAAACCATTCATTATCTAATAGTGTAGAGTTCTCAAACTACAACTCATTATAACTATATTTGACAGAATAATTCAATATTCAAATAACTTATACAACTTTCATTGTTTATACTTACCAAACTATAAGTAAGATATAAGTCTAACACAGTAAGCAAATGACAAATTCAGTTTGATTCAACTAACTGAAATAAATAATAGCTACTCTCTAGATAGTTTATGAATACATGTACCAGTTAAGTATTAGAACTGCATTTTTATTTATCAACTTGAATGAATCAATTAGGATAACATTTTTAAGACCAGATAAATTTGTTTTATTTTGTGATTCGGTTTCAAGCGAACGGTACTGGGTTCGAGTCCCAGAGTGAACATCAACTCTGAGATGCAGATAAATCTATCTGACGAGTCGCAAATAGGAAGAAACTCGCGTCCTTTATTCCACTTCTAACCACTATCTATATTTACTTATTTAATGCATATTGTTCATGTACTATCAATAAATCATTTGGTTATGAAAAGACACACCAACACAGTTACGAATCCTATTTATGAGTTTAAATAAAGAACATTTACTTCAGTAGATATGAGGAGATTAAATAAATATAATGAGTGGATATTATTACAGTCACGTTGAAGGTTATTTAATCAAAAAATTACAAATGTTTACGATATAAATGATGATATTACTAATAATAATATTAATATTCCTGCCTTGTTAAACATTAATAAAAATATCATATTTTAATAATAATGACAATAATTTAAACAAGGTAAGAGTATAGAAACAAGAGTAAAGTTGAACGTATTTGGTTAGAAATTATAAATTTTGCGATAGAAATCGGATGTTGACGACTACTTTCGACTAATGTTTGTCTCTAGTTAACGTAGGTACAGCTTAATTGAGTGACAATTAAGAAGGCATACGATAAATTTTTCTATTTGATATCTTATTTCTATTGCAAGTTGGCGCTTGCTTCGTGATGCAGATTGATAAGTTCTCCAGTGTATGTTCTATGTCATAAGTAGCAAAAGTGAGCATAAGTTCTAGTTATCAACATAACGATAATATCTTCCAGGTGAATAATTCTTGGACATAGCACTCAACTACTATTCTTTCACGAATCTTTAAATGGTCTTTATTTTAAGTTGTGCAGTTAGTTTCAAACAGCTTCATTTTGAGTGTGGTGTATGTTAAATTCAAACAGTATTACTATGATGTGAATCTACATGATCGTTTTAAAACCAAATTACTTAACTTAAGAATTTCAGCGTGTTCTTTATTTATCGATTTACACAATTAGATATGGTTCAGACATTTTCAACAGAAGCATAGAATACGGAGCTACAACTTTTCATTACATTGAGAACTTGTAATAGTTTAAAAAGTATTGGCTTTGTCATCTTGAATATAATTCGGTTATGAAATCTGAATTGGTTATTTAAGAGTCCATATTTTGAATTCACTCGTTATTTCGTAGTTACTAAGTGCAATAGAATGATCATTTATTGAATTTAAAAAAACATCATATTGTATTTTAAGATAAAATAAGGTTGAAAAAAGCTTACTTCTAGTCGTTATCAATTTTGATACTAACTTATGAATAATCTGTTTCAAATACACCTCTTAGGACGCTTTTCCACAATAGATTTGGAGATCAGATTTTCTTATATTTAACTTATTTTTTCCCAATTGCTGTTTACATAGATAGTTTCTCGAACATTGATATGCCTCTTCAATTCAATAGGAGCTTGAACTGGAAGGTTGAATTTCGATTTTACATAATGGGTAGTCTGTAATGAAATTGAGTAAATTCTTTAAGTTCGTCACTAATTCACTTGAAATCAGATTTTCAGTTGTTTTTTTACTGGAATACTGAAACCGGTGAACTAGATTGACTTTTAATTGTTGAATGTCTATATGATGAACAAGTTGCGGTTATCAGTACATTTTGACCCAGTGACTGAGTAGTAAAATGTTCTTCATATGACATCTAAAGTTGGTTTTTTATTGTGTTTACTATTAATCCAACAGGTGGGATTTTTCTGTATAATAAGCTAATTTTCACCATAATTTTACATTTTACCGGTAATATTTGGTATTTTGATAATTCTATTAATTTTAATACTTAAGATCGTGAGTCGATTGAAGCTAAACAAACATAGAAAACATGGAAAGATTGGACGGCAGTTTCGTCCAAATGTGGGTTTCCACAGCAGTGAACATCCACGATCCTGCCTCGCAAGATTCGAACACAGGACCTATCAGTCTCTAGTGTGAACGATTAAACTCTAGACCACTGAGGCAGCTGGCATCCAACGGTGTTAGTTTAACTTCAACTTATTCACGAAATTGAGCGACACCTTTTCATGGTCGTTTAGCTTCAATTAACTTATGATCTTAGCTATTAAAATTACTATAATATACAAAAAACCCCTTCTCATAGTTATATTAAATAATTACATAATATAATTATATAAACCTTATTTTAATTTATTTTATTTAGATAACCAATTTAACCTGTATGGATAACATAGAAGAATGCTTATTTTTGATATCTATCTATCAAGAATGAAAATAACTCTTAATTTGTTAATAATAATGAATATTTACAAATTGTCAAGTTCAAATTGACCTTCCATATTTCTTTTCATTTCTTTCCTTTGAAAATAAATGCTTTCTGTTGCAATAATACAAATTTTGCATAAATACAACATTCCATTATACAGATTGTTAATAATCTGTTTAAAATAAAAGCAGCTCAATTGTTCCGTTTTCTTTTTTCGTTTCTTCAGTGTTTTATTATATTTAAGCTAATCTATGTATGTGACTTATTTTAAATGAAAACAATCCATTCATTTTCATTCTAGTTAACAATACCACCATCATCAACAACAACAACGAAAAGAATATCCTTCTTTATCCTCTCTTGCACTAATAATCTTTTTTTAATGCACATATTTTCTCGGTAATTTCACTAAAAAAGTAGCAGTAATGTTTGTATAATACTACTACTTCTAATACTACTACTACTACTACTACTAATAATAATAATAAATGCTTAGCTTTTCTATATATTAGGATAATACTTTATCGTATATATTTATATATACATATACATACATAGTGATAAGCTTCATATTTTCTTTGTCAATTCATAGGATATCGTTTATATTCATGCTATTCACCTTCTACTCTTTCACTCACTCACTAACTCTAATTTCTTTATATTCTAACTGAAAATCAACTTGATTTACAATGTGACGACTAGCTTGTTGAACAATTATTACATGGATAGTTAAATAAAATAATATTTTTATGTAAACAATGAAGATAAAATTAATATTATGCAACAACAAGAAATATAAACATAAACATATTAATAATTTTATTTGTTTGCATGATAATCTTTCATTCTGATAAGCAGAAGAATGAATATATATTGAATCCGTCTCCTTTTTTTTACTGAGACTAACCTAAGATTAATATATGTATTGATGAAGTACTATAATGTGTAATGAAAGAAATATCTTATTGATTCGATTCATTTCTACTAATAATCCTATTCGTAAAACTTATGGAAACTATTAATTACATTTAGAAGAAAAAATGTAAATTTTCTCATTCCTAACTTATCTACATTGTTTCCTCTTATAAACTAAGTGAATAAAGTCTTTCCATGAAATACATCATAAAAGGCATTTAAAATTCTGATCAGGGAAATGTTAGAAACAATAACAAATGTTACACTGTCTTATTGATTTTTGTTTTGTTTTCTGTTCTTTTTTTTGGTTTGTCACACTTCTCTTCATTCACTTGTTCTCTCTTAAATGTTTCATTGATATCATAATGATAAATAGTGAGTTGTTTTATTCTCCCCATCCTTTTCATTTTGTTTTCTGTAAACATATCTAACTTCATTAATTCATGTGAATGATAATATATTGTGTTGATTAGTAAAATAGTAGAATCAAATTGTATAATACCTTGTTTCGTTTTGTATTAAAAATGATATGATGATTTGTTTAAACGTATATGAAAACTCAGATTAGACTAGGTAGGTTAAAATCGGTGGATAACGTGACTTAGTGTGATCAATGACGTCCTAATAGCCTTCACACTATCATTTAACTCTAACTTCTAATCGCTTCCTAGTTCAACAGAAACTTCTTACATGTGGATCGCAAATGGGAATGTGAAATAAATATTCATATTTGATAAGGTACAGAAAACGTGAATATCTATAAGTTAGTGTTGAGGCTTTTAGACTACAATTAATTGATAATCATCCAAATAGTAAATAAAACACAATTCGTAATTTTCCTAGAATTACTTAGGGAATTTCTATTAGACACTTTATCCCAACTTCTGAAGACGTTCGTCAAGACTCTAAACTCATTATCATAAAACCACGTAAATAAGTAAAAGATGAATGATAATTAGTCCATCTGTTTTTATTCCAATAATATGGAATCGCTCCTGTAATGTGTTTATGCACTGAATATACCATATTATATTCTACTTTGCTCTTTGGATATCATTGCGTTGTATATGAAATATAAATTTCACCTGCTGAAGATGCGTATCCTGTACAGAAATAATTAATACATAAGAAATATCAGCAGTAGAATGAACGACAAACGTATTCAACCAGATAAAAGTACTTTTTATTGGGGTGGTTCACCACTACAAGTTAGTTCTCTTATATTCAAAAGATGTAGTCAACGATGTCGAATTTGATTGAATTAACTATTGAGAAATGGTTATTTTTTACAAACTGCTATAGGCTGAACAGTCTTTGAATACCAAGGGGCATCAAGCAGTCCGTGTTTGCATAACAAATATACTCACAGAGAATCACAGCGAAGGTCTTACATCTAAATAAATTGACCTTCTCTAACTCCATTATCTTAATGAAGAAATATTTTAAAAAAATTAATCCATCAGCATTTCAAGTTAAGCTTACTATGTTTAAGTCTTGATTTGAACATAAACACAGGCAAATTAGCTGATGACGAATCCCAAATAGGACGGATCGCAAGTTTAGCATCCCATCATTAGCACACACAAAACTTATAAATCTGTGTTTTGGAAAATGGTCTAGGTAATTACAGACAAGAAAAGAAGTTATAAAGTCTTCAGGCTTTAATTCAACTTAAACCTCACATGAAATATTGTTTCACATATTTTATAGCAGTTCAAAAAAATAATTCAAGTAATACTTAATTGATAAAGAACTACTCCCAAGAATTCCCTTGCAATACACTTAAACATCTACTTTATTGTGAAATTCATAGAAATGGTCAATACTACTGAGTGGTAGTATTGGTCATACAACCCTGTTCTTCTATGAGATTCCGTCTTTATGAGGAATTATCCTGCAGTTTTGAAACTAGAAATATTTTATGGCCAATATAAATTCTGAATTCATGACTGAAAATTCTCCCATACTCTATAAACCAGTATACTTCAAAATATATGATTAACTTGAGCATTAATTTTGAAGAATTTCTCAATTATAGATGAAGCACAAAAGGTATATAACATATTTGGAGTGGTTACTCATAAAACTCCTCGTACATTTTGGTTCGCCTGTGAACATCTATTTTTGGCATAACTGAGAAATGAATTTTGAAACAAAAATCATCTGTCATAGTGAAACTGTTATTTTAGCTTGTAATAAGCTTAAATTTCAAATGATCTCGATAGGTGTAAGTTTTCTGTTTCCTGACACCGAGCTTCCGAGTCTTGATATGTTAAAGAAGCTTTGCAGCTAAGGTTGATACTTTTGGTGTTATTGCGTTCTTTGGGCTAGATTAGTTACATAGCTTTCGTTATCTTCATGGGTAAGACCACCAACCGTTTTCTGCACGTATAGGTAAGCTTCTCAGTTGTAACACAAGTTTCAAAAATAGTTTGTTCTGCTGCTTTTGTTTTTAGTTGTTTATCTTCGTAGGCCTCGTTTTTATTTAATCTTGCATTCTATGTTGAATATTTTGTTTAGTCGTTATGCGACTATGTGGTTGATCAAATTTTTCATATAAGTTGTCGAATAGGGTTTATCTTAAAAACAACTAACTATAAACAAGGGCACTAGGACAAACTAATTTAACATTCATCGTACAAATAAGAAGCTCAAATCTACACAAAGTGACTGCTGATGATGTTATCCGAGAAGACAATGAAAGTCCCACAATTAAATTACTTAGCTCAGATAAATCAATGACACCGACATTTCCCAAGTGTTCATTGTAGCAGTATGTACAATGTAAAGTTAATACTACCTATCACATAAATCACATGTCAATAATTTAAAAATAAAACAATGCTTAAAAATAAAGTAATCAGTAATTTAATATTTCATTATCAATAATGTAATCTATTCATTAAGAGGCGTTAGATAATGGGGAGTATAAATTGCTTCAACAAACTTACTAATCGTCTACAGTACAAATAAAATGTATTCTATGACTAAAAACCTCAAATTATAGATTAGTATGTTATTAATACTCTTAGATACTCGAAAAATTAACCTGTTGTCTAGGACTATTCAATCAATAAAACTATTCATTAATTTGTCATCATGGGGTTGTTGAGATTAATGACAGTGATTGAAATCAACATTCATTGAAAATCTGAAAGCACTGGACAATCGTTCATTCGTGGTGTATTGAACGAGGACACAAGTGGGGAAAATCGAATTATTTGATTACAAAATTACAGAAAATCTTATAAAATCTGAGGACCATACAGTATATACTTAATTTGCAAAATGTCAATCAGTTGTTTCAAACTTGTATGTTTCTTTTGCAAACATCAGTTAATCGTCTCAGACTTCATTGTTCTTTCGTTTCGACACCAACCATTTTTTGTTCTCGTTCTCTTTTCTTTGATCGTCTTAATCTTCTGCCACCAGGCATTTCACTTTTGATTGATGATACATACTACTTGTATCTATCGGCATCAGTAGTACACACCATAATAGTATGGAACTCCTAAAGAGCGCGCATCCACGACCCTTCATCTGGAAATCAAACCGAACACTCTCTGTCTCCTTCACGAACACAGTTGAAAACCACTTTCTTCAAAGTCACTTGAACAAAGAATAGTACTAATGATTCCCGAGCAAATGGTGCATTTATTATTCAGATAGCTGGATCGATAGCTCATTGGTGTATCAAGTGACTAAATGTGAATACTCTGTGCAGAAGGTCTATTCATTTTTTCCGATACATTTATGCAGATCATTAGAAATATCATTAATATCATCAATATATCATGTGAAACTTCTCTATTAGCATTTATTTCCAAACAAAACAAAACAAGTGATTTCATGAAAATCTTGAAATGATTAGTTTTATATCTAACTTACCATCCATTACAACAGATTAAAGTAAAATAAAATTAGGAATTATTGAAGTTATAGAACAAATGAATCCATTTCTATCTGTTCGAATATTTATCTAATTATATATGTCAATAAACTAATTAATTACATTCTAGTTCATACAACAAGAATTGTGTAACTTGAACTCATTTCTGTAAGTCATTTAAACAGTAGAAAGAAAGAAAAAAACCTTTTTTTTAATTCCATGAATTATCCACTTGTTAATGGGTGTAATAAGGTCAACTGATTAAAATGCAATAAATTGACTTAAATTTTAAAAACAAAAAGTAAACAAAAAGAAACAAAACAAATTAACATTATTATCACAAAAGGTGGCGGGGGGGGGGGTAGTTGTAGTTCAAGTGATGTTGAAACCTAAACTTTAATTCTTTAGTACTTTTCTAATAGATTAAGTTAACAAATAATTAGTAGTATATATGAATTATATTAAAAATTAATAATGAAAATGAAATATGGGCATATCTATTAGAAAATTCACTTTATTTATTTCATTAAAAATTCCATAATTAATAGGGCTAAATATGTATTAATTAATATGCATGAATTGATATGATCATTTTATGTTGCATTTTAAATAATTGAAGAGAAAGAAAATTTCCAGAAAACAAACTGAAATTACTGTTTATCTTTAATAAATTAAAGTTATTTTTTATAATTAAATTCATGAGTCAAGTAGAGCTAGACCATCATGGAAAATTTGGAATCACTGGATGAGCGTTTCATCCTAGTATGGGATCACACAGCAGTGCGTATCCACGGTCCCGCCTCACGAGATTCGAACCCAAGACCTAACAATCTCGCGCGCGAACACTTAAACTTTATCAAGCTGGCATCCACTGGTGTTACTGCTTAGTTTATTTTACCGATATATTTTGGGATTAGAATAAGCATTTTTGAAGCTAATGTCATATTATTCTAGATTTCATTATATACTTAGATCACTTAAAGAATTATTGTAGACCAAGAAGCATTGAACAACTCTAAGGTCTTAATTTAGCAGCATTAAAAATTTCACATTCATGAAGTGATAAGAGATCAAAAACAGAGTCTTCAGATCTTAGGGTAATTTTATTTACATCTTTCTCAAACCTTTTCTTTGAATCAAAGATTTCTTCTTTTAACAATTAAATGACTAATCTCTCATCTGTAAATTCATTTGTCGAATAAGAGTTTCTGGATGGAATAGTTCTGTTTGGAGACATTAAAATAATAGAATGATTTACAGGCACCTTGAGTACCAACGTAGAAATGTTAGGGGTGTGTTTCTAACTTCCTGTTTGAAGATTTGATTTCAAGATTGGTCCGTTTCAATTGGCTGATCTAGAATGTGGTGGACTATTTATGATTCTTATCAGTCCTGGAGTGTTGATGGATGATGAAATATTGGAATTGATAGATGTCGTGGATTCTGTAGAATTTCACTCATTACTACATGGATGATATACACGTCTGTCAACCAGAGGGTAAATATTATTAAGCAGCAACCAGCTTATATTACTCTGCGGCGAGGAAGCGTGTCCTATGAAAGTAAACGACGAACCTAATATGTTAGCAATCCGTTAATGGTATCTT